ATATATATATATATATATATATATATATATATATATATATATATATATATGTTTCATTGAATAATATAGACATATGTCTATTTATTTTATAATAATCCTTTCTAGTTCTCTAATCAGTTTCTTGATGTTAAAATGAAATTCATCAAGGATGGTGCCATTGTTTTTTCCTATCAAGATGTCTTGCACTTCATTTGATGGATGCATGTTTTATTGCACAACATCTAAAAGCACATTCCTCTCCACCTTTAGAATACAGGAAAATACTTGTTGACATCACCAATTTTCACCCTGAGGCGGTGTAATGGTTAGCAAGCTTGTCTCGCTAGCACAATTACGAATGAGTAGTGAGTTCGATCCTCACTGGATGCCCCATACTTTCGGCTTTGTGCCACATCTAAGCTATGCTTGGAAAATCACTACTACACCATGAAAATAAACAAAAACATCAAATTTCTGAAGCCCCCTATATCAAAAGCAACCAACCAAAACTCGACAAAATTTATTACAAATGTAGCAGCCATGTTTTAACCAATATTTAATGACATTTTGCATTTCTATCTATTTCTGGTTAACTGCCTTATATTGGGACGCTTGTTTTGCAAAAATTCCATAGCTACAAGGGATAGATTTAAAATTTTAAAATAATTATAACAAAGCGCATTCATGTGTGTTTTTAAAAATCACCATCACATCAATCACAGCTACAATAAGTTTCTCTTTGTAATTCACCCCTGAGGATGATATCAGAGGTGATCGAAAGTACTTGGGTAGGAAATAACTACAGCATGTTCCTTGATGGATGATTTCATCTTAACATCAAGAAACTGATTAGAGAACTAGAAAGGATTGTTATAAAAATAAATACAAAAAATATGCATATTTTATTTAATGAAATTTGTTTGAATAAAGATATGTTAACTAAATATACATGTTTGTGTATGTTTGTATACCATGTCGTTTCAGGATATGAGAAATCTTGATTCTCCGTAGCTTCCCATCCTGTGTTGCATTCAGTAATATTTTCTCTTTAACAACTTCTTTTTATCTTTGTGGTTCTTATTCTTCTGCCCTTTATTATTCCCTCTCACTTCTCTTGTTTTAGATGTGTCTTATGAGTGTTAAATTCGCCAAGCCATCTTTCCTGATGATGTCAACCCCATCAATTATTTACCTGACTCTTTTTCATTGTTCCCAATGGTCTTTGTAGTTCCTGTTTTCATTAAAACTTCCTCATTTGTCATATACTCAGTTCATGGTATTTGCCTTAAAACTTCCTCATTTGTCACATACTCAATTCATGGTATTCTCCTTAAAACTTCCTCATTTATCACATACTCAATTCATGGTATTCCTCTTAAAACTTCCTCATTTGTCACAAACCCGGTTCATGTTATTTCCCTTAAAACTTCCTCATTTGTCACATCCTCAATTCATGGTATTCTCCTTAAAACTTATTCATTTGTCATGGACTCAGCATGATATTCTCGACACTTGTTGATAGTTACTTTTTCTTTATTTGTGATGAAATAGTTCAGCATTATTGACTAAACACAACAAATACAAAGATACTGGTTTAAACATTTTATAAATCATGACAACATTTGCAAAGCCACTAGTTATATATGTTTTAATCAGACAGAAAAAAATGAGTTGTTTTAACAACAGTTTTAAATAATAATTTATACAGGGAAATTTCATGGTGCATCTTTTTAATGCAAAAAAAGAACAAAATAATTTCTGTATTTTAATAATCCTGCAAAAATGAGATCACTATTGTTTTAATTAATGGCCTATCCATTTCTAGCAAGGAAATTCCATGGTGTATCTTTGTAATGTAAGAAAAGGATACAAAATATAGGATCACAACAAATGTTTGTAGCATTTTTAAGTGAATTTCAAAGACAATATTAAGACATTTGTAAATAGATTTATTTAACCATATATGTGCCATTTTGTTCTACTATCTTTTGCCAGCTTTGAGACTGCTTCATGATTCTAACCTCTTAGAAATTAATATCTTTCTGAGTGATGAACTGGTTTAAGTGGTTTTTACACTATTTCAGAGAGTTGTAGTTCTTTCCAGTTAAGAGAATTTTGTAGGGATTGAAATAAGTTTCTATCTGTAAATGTAAGGTTAGGTGATTACAACCAGTGTACTAGGACATTGTATCAAAGCTGTACTAATTTCTACCAGGTCTACAAAAAAATGTAAGGTCTGGTATTATCCTGATGTAAAATAACACCCTTCCAATTGGCCAGTTCCAGACACTTTTCATCAACTGCTGCCTTTAATTGATCCAGCAGGGAACAACACTTGTCTTAATTCCACAACTGATTTTGCAGGTTTTTGTAATACACAACACTCTTCCACGACCACCAAGTACACAGCATCAACTTTTTGGGATGCAGATTATTTTTTTGAGTGACTCATTTTGTTTTCTGTAGGATTCTTTTAGTTCTAAACAATACATTTTTCATCACCTGTGATTGTTCTTTTAAAAAATAAGTTTTTTGCTTTTGAGCAAAGAACCACAGATGTAAATGCACTCCATTAAATTTTTCCATATTCAAGTGTTTTCAAATGTCTTATGACGTTAATATTAGATATATGGATTATTTCTGTAATGTCCTTTGTTGTGTAACGTAGATTTTTTTTAATCAGCATTTGGATTTGGTTATGATCACACACTGCAGGCTTGCCAGAACATTGCGCATCCTGCAAATCAAAATTTCTACTTCTGAACCTAGCAAACCACTTACAAAGAGTACTCTAAGCTATGGCACCATCTCCATAAATGGCACATATCAATTTTAATGTTTGTACAGCATTTTTTCCTTTCTGGAAATGAAAGTGCATCAAATTTTTCTCTAATTTCACATTTAGCATAAAGCTTCTAAAATTCACAATCTACACTCAAATCATGAAAGGTGCATTGAAGTACCACCCTGTAACGCCATTCATGGTGTAATTGTGACAAGTTTGGTGATGACGTTCTCTGCTCATCCATCTTTCACTGCACCTTTGATGACATCCGTATATTTGCATATACACCCAACTTGCTATGTGCACCAGTTTGTCTTCTTCTTTCAACAAATACTAGTGACGACAAATGTTTTTAAAGACACTGGTTGGGAGTTCACAACAATGTGATTTCTCATTTAGCCGACACTTATCTTTCCCTTTGGCTGAACTGCTATCTCCCTCGCTTTACTGGCTTCTGAGCTTGGTGACTCATGATTCATCACTACTGGTTCTTATGTCACTGGCTGCTGGGCAACTCTTCTGGCTACTCTCACAGCTGAACCCACTTTCCCCCCTGACTTCTTGCTTCTCTCTGCTTATATAGATAATCCTGGGGTCTCACCCCTTTCATCCACTTGTGTTCCAGAAGGTTTGAGATCACTCCAAAACTGTATGGATGGTCAAATCTTCAAAGGACTACTTTTATGACTATCTAAAATCATTGATAAAATTTTAATGTTTCCCAATTCAAAGGCAAACTGGAGGTATGGATCCTGAAAACACTGACACTTAAGTTTACTCAAAGATGGACTGGAGTCAAAATTCCTATGGAACTCAAATATCTCCTTATCTTCTAAAATTGTGTGAGAAATCATTGTTACAACCCTTCATGATATACATACATACATATATATATATATATATATATATTTTATATTTATGGGATAAAGTGCTCAATATCAGAGATAGAGCGTGTGTAAATATAAAAGTGAACATAGAAGTCAATACTTAGAGGCGACAGTCTGTTTCATGCTAGATGCAATAGTCAGGCCATGAGTGCTGTTATTTTTCTCGGCTATATATATAGGGGTCAGTGGTGCACTGTGGGTAGTCTATTTTGGCGGTTATTTTACCGGAAGTCGTTTATATATATATATATATATATATATATATATATTGCTCTGTTACACAGTGCAGAAACCCTATTGTTTATTTCCCCTTTTGTTTGTCCCTTTTAGGTACTTTTTACATTGGTCACTGTTTTAATGTCAATATAAAAGTATCACTCCAAACATGCGATCAGTAGTTTTATCCTCAAAGTTAGCCATCATCGTTTTGTCCTTTTGGTTATGAATAAACTTAACAATATACAAAACTTCATCTTCAGAGTTTAGAATTGCTTTAAGGCATTTATCTGACTGTCTTTGAAACTGCACATATGTACAACTTTCAAACCTAAGTTTCAAACTTAATCAAACTTGTTTGGAAATATATATATATATATATATATATATATATATATATATATATATATATATATATATATATATATATGCATGTTTCATTAAAAACGACAGACAAGGTACTATGGTTAAGCTTTTTATTTAATTTTTCTTGTGTTCTGACAAGAGCTTTCTTTTCTGAACAAAGCGCTTTTGGTTATACCTGTAGCCATTATCAATTCGATTTTCAGCTTAATTGAATTTGTACGTTCTGTGTATGTATTAGTGTGTGGTAAGGATGTTTTTAATTTCCGAATACGGTTAGCACATTGTGTATTCCAGATTCGGAAATTAAAAACATCCCTACCACACACTAATACATACACAGAATGTGCACACTCAATTAAGCTGAAAATCGAATCATCCTGGATAATGGCTAAAGGTATAGCCGAAAGTGCTTGGAAATATAAAATATTTGGACAGTTTTTACACACCTTTTGTCCAGAAAAGAAAGCTCTTGTCAGAACACAAGAAAAATTAAATAAAAAGCTTAACTGTAGCACCTTGTCTGTCGTTTTTTAATGAAACATGCATAAAGGAAGGATTGCTGCCTAAATATACAACTATTAAATATATATATATATATATATATATATATATATATATATCCAAACAAATTTGATTAAAAAGAAATGACAAGGTCCGTCTGTTTAATTTTTTATTATATTTTTCTAATTTTCAAATAAGTTGTTGTATATTGTGCTTGAAGTTACAGATAAATTATGACAAAACATGAACTTCAAACAGTTTGGGGCTTACGTCCATATCATTTTGAAACACTAGTTCACATACAATCACTGAAGTTAAATAATGTCAAGCTTGGTCAGTCCCTAGATGGGTGACTGCTTGGGAACACTAGGTGCTGTAAGCTTAGATGTGTGAGTGGTATAATGAACAAATACTCATAATTGTTAATCAGAGAGCTGAGTTCCAATTCCAATTAGGTTCATTATATTCACTTACTCACAAATACCGATAGCAACCTCTTCTACTCATCAGTTCTAGATTAATTGGTAAGACCGGTATTACTAAATCATTATTATCTTAAAAAATAAAATCTAAAAATATTTTCTGACTTTAAATAACCTTCAAAGTGTCAATAAGCCAGGGAAAATGAATCAATCAGTTTATCCACAACTTTGAGTTCAACATTCATTGGCTTATTCAAGAAATGGAAAAATATAATAAAAAGAATTAAATAGATAAACCTTGTTGGTTCATTTTAATCAAGCGTGTTTAAATGAATACTTGCTGCCTAAATATACATTCCTCATATACACCCTTATGTAAAGTGAAACAAAATGAATAATTACATTATTATTTGCTTTTTTCATATTTTTCCAATGAAACATGACCCAGTGTACATGTTAGTACTTCGTATGTCCATTTCTTATTGTTGTAGCATATCTACAGGTGATAATGAGTATGTTCCAATTTATATAAATACAGTAGTAAATACTGTATGTTGGTCTGCAGTTGGAGATTTATTGTGGAATTCACTTGACTCACTTCTAGCAATTGACTACTTCTTCTACGTGCCACTGGCGAATCTTATGTGTTGTTCTTGTCCTAAGTATTATCGTTCATTACCAACCATTATGTGATTATTCTATTCAGTAACCTTCCCTAGGTTACAACACTTACTGATTGACCACCAGTTCTCAGTTGGATTTAAATCAGGAGAGTTTCTGAGCCAGTTAATAGTACTTTGATTTGCTCACTAGTAAGGCTTACCATTGTGTTTGTGCAGTGTTACAATTTTTGTACGCTTCCTTGGAGTAACGTCCAGCACAGACAATGGCCATACGACAACTAATTAACAGTTGAGACAGTAGTGTCTGGGCATGATGAAAATCTGATGCAATCATGGATGATGCAATATTTTTCAAGGCCAAACAAATTTCATCTTACACCCCAAAAACATATTCATATTGCTTCACAACACTGCAAATGACCTAATTTGAGAAAAGATAGAAATTGATTACACCCTGTCACACCAGTGGGTCTAAAACTGACCGTATAGTGAAAGAAAGGAAACTAAAGCAGTTGTTTCAATTAATTTGCTCAAGGATGTATATCTGTATATAAAATTCTATAACTTCTGTTAGTCCATCTGTCCGCCACACCCTCTAAAACAGCCATACATTGACCGATGAAAACCAAATTTTGTGGAGAAGTGCAAGTAAGGGGGTACAAAGTACTGATGGTTTTACTTGGGGGCATAGTTTAGTACAATTTTCTTTTTGGAAAAATTTAACTTTTATTATGTTGAGCTAAAAGAATTCTACAGAAAACAAAATGAGTGACTGAAAAAATAATCTGCATCCCAAAATGCGTATAATTGGTGGTAGTGCAAAAGTGTATTACAAACTTCTGTAAAATCCTCCTATTATTTTAAAAACAATTTAATGATTAAAATAACAAATTATTTAATAAAAATGCAACATTGTTTTTTGCATATCTTTTCTTTGAGTTTATATATATAATTACTAATAATTATAATATATTTACGGCGCTTGTATTCGGAGTGCGAGGCTTCATGCAAGTGTGACCTGGCCCATAACCAGGCCAAGCCTCCAGCGCTTGCAGCTTAATGGCAGGTCCATGATCATACATATCTGTAACATCCAGCCAGAGGATGTGGTCACCATATGATCAAGTGAGTTATTGGCATGGCTTGATTTCGAGGATCTCAACCTCATTCTGAGAAAGAGAAGGCTTTGCTGGTATGGACATGTGGAGTGTTCCAGCAGTGCTATCAAGTGCGCCAGTGACTTTCAGGTTAAAGTAAAGCAAACACCTGGGAGGCCCAAGATGTCATGCAGGGAGCTGACAGAACGTGATTGCAGAGAGTGGAAGTTCTCTGCAGTGGACCCTCATGACAAATGCATTTAGAGATCTGGAGTGAGGATGTCCATGCATGTAGCTAGCCAGGGGACCCACTGATGTGGACAATGCTCTTGAAACTTCACAGTAAACAAAAACCCGGTAAGGAGAGTTTCAAATGGACAGAGGTATTAATCTCAAGAATAAAGTTTATTCCTAAACCATCGAAATATCCTTTCAAGTGTACAAGAATTCAGTTTCCAGTTCACCCTGTATTTGCAAGAACTATAAACAAATCACAAAGCTAAATGATTCAAAAAGTTGGAATTGGGCTCCAGAAAGAAATATTTAAACATAGCCAGTTGTATGTTGCATGCTCAAGAGGAAGAAATCCTAAGAATTTATTCTTTGCTGTTAAAAAGGAAAAAAATAAATTTTCTTAAAAAATATTGTTTACCATGAAGCCCTATAAAATTAAATTAAATTGTTAAACCACTTGGTAGGATTTTTGTCAAAGTATTTTTTCCAAACAAATCAGCTTATTCAAATGTCATCGATTGGTTTGCAAAATTGAACGAAACATAGTTTGTAAATCTTAACAAAAAATGTTAATAACTTTAACAATACTAAATACCGTGAGGACTTCAACACATGTCAGCATGTTGCAAAAAATAAATCTAGTATCATAAATTTCAGTTATGTGTAAAAGAAAATCTCATATTCAAATGCCACCTATTGAAAAAAATGCTAGGAACTTTTGTTCAAACACAATAATTCCTGCATGATACAAAAAAGAAAAAAAAATTCTTTTTTTAGTTTTAAACAGTCACTGGTTCATTTAAAAATTCAGTATCTTTATAAAAATCTATAATAATAAAAACTGAATTCTGTATTGACAACTATTAAAATTGTCATGCAACAGTGAAAGGGTTAACTGCCTTGTGCCTTATTACAGTTCAGAAATAGAAAAAGCAATTATTGGGTGGAAGTAAATATTTGGAGATGTAACAAAATATGCTATAAACCATACACATACTCTTGTAGAATAAACCTCCCTTTTATTTATTTTAACCAATGTACAAAGAAAAACAAGTCAAAGCTTCAAAAAGGGAAAAGTTCCTGTCATTTCTCAAAGATGGTTATTCTTTTGTCACAGGGGTTTTTTTTTTCAGAAGCCCAGCACCACAACATTTTGTCTTTCAAAATTTTAAGAATTTTTGGGGATATTTTTTAATATACAGGGTGAGGCAAACATGCACACCATAAGGATAATCTATTAAAAGTATAGTTATACATGAAAATAAAGCCACTAAGACGCAAGGGGTTACTGAGTGTTAGAGAATATGAGAAAAACTACTATTAAGGAGAGAGGACAATAAAAGAAGAAGAATTAAGAAGACAGAAGATGACGATTGACATTGCATTTAAATGTTTGAAGATCAAAGGCAATAAAGCCACTAGGACACAAGGGGTTGCTGAGTATTAGAGAATATGAGAAAAACTACTATTAAGGAAAAAAGACAATAAAAGATGAAGAATTAAGAAGACAGAAGATAACGATTGAGATTGCATTTAAATGTTTGAAGATCAAAGTCAATAAAGCCACTAGGACGCAAGGGGTTACTGAGTGTTAGAGAATATGAGAAAAACTACTATTAAGGAGAGAGGACAATAAAAGAAGAAGAATTAAGAAGACAGAAGATAAGGATTGACATTGCATTTAAATGTTTGAAGATCAAAGGCAATAAAGCCACTAGGACGCAAGGGGTTACTGAGTGTTAGAGAATATGAGAAAAACTACTATTAAAGAGAGAGGACAATAAAAGAAGAAGAATTAAGAAGAGAGAAGATAACAATTGACATTGCATTTAAATCTTTGAAGATCAGAGTTGTTTGGAAAGCAAGAAGCCAGAAGAGAGTTCCACAAGCGAGAAGTGTGAGAGAAGAAACTTTTAGCATAGATCTTACAGTTATATCTAGCCATTTCAACAGAAAAATGATGTGACCTTGTCACCAATCTTGTATTACACTTAAATTCATAAAGTCTAGGTACCAAAGAGGAAATTTCATCAGAACAATTATGATGAAAGTATTTATAGAAAAGGCACAAGGAAGCTACGTTATCATATTTTCCCATCACCAATCAAACTGTGGCAAAATGGAGACAAAATTACAGGCTGTTATAAGTGCAGAAATATGGATTGCGTGTGCCAGTGATAATGACAATGTACTATTAAAATGGCCACCATGTTCACTTGATACCTTGTGATTATTTTTTCTATGGGGCTTTGTGAAAGGACAGGTCTATATCCCCCATCTTCATACAAGCCTAGAGGAACTTTAGCAGAGAATCACTGAGGTACTGGAGAATGTTATGCAAGACATACTACAGTGTGTTTGGCTGGAGCTGGACTACCAACTTGACGTGTGTTGTATCACAGGTGGTGTGCATATTAAACGTTTGTGAAGCTTTGTGAACTTTGTTATCTACGTCCCTTTTAATGTCTTGTTTGAATTTTAATGAATAAATCTTTTGTTGTTCAACATGAAACTTATTTAATTTCGTTTGCCTGAGACATGGAGTTACTCAGATATTCACATTTTAAGTGAAGTCAGTTTTTGGGGGACACCCTGTATGATGTTATTCTTGTATTTAAGATGAATATGAACAGCAAAATATGCCTTCCAGAAACTAAGCAATGTATTAAGAGATAGGAAAATATTGTTAGAAACAATGAACATAATGCTGAACTATAATGTAATATCTAATCTCCTGGATGGCAGTGAATGCTGGACAGTTTCCTTAAAAATGAAGAAGAGATTTGAAGTGAAAGTGATGTCGTTGTACTGAGGAATTTAAACGATCTTAAAGACACAGCATTTAAGTAATGAGAAACTGTTAAAGAAAATTGGAACGATAAAGAAACTTGCAATCAGAAATTAAGAATGATATTTTGTTAGCATAGTAACACATTGAACATAGAGGAAGGAAGATTGTGTTGCAGCAAATCTCCGAGGGGGAGTAGCTTAAAAAAATCAACAT